AATGCAATATGAGATCAGAGAAAACAGAACTAATGTATTTGGGTGGCCCTACTGACCAAACCTTAACATGGCTGTAGTATTATATCAAAGGTCAAATCTTTGTGATCACTGGGTCAGCACAGTCACTGTATATGCCATTAGTTCTTTTAAAAAATCAGATAACAAAACAACGTATCGTGAATAAAATGTCAGGAACAGTACAGAAATAAACCACAACTCTCATTTCGGAAAGCTATGCAGATTCTGACGTTTCGTACTTTTAAACAAAGCAGATGTACACATATCCCTTTCAGTACTGTAAAGTCTTACAAACCATGGGTACGCATTTTGGATGTTTATATTAAGTCATGTAATTTAAATAATGTCTTGAGTTTGTTCTCGAATGAGCAATACATGCCCGCACTTCCAAATGTAACTGTACTGTTAATAAAGAATTAATTTATTTTGGACCACAACATTAATGTGGATTTTTAAGTAATTCAAATCTTCGCTTATATCCTATGATAAACACTGTGTGGGAAAATGTACAATGAAGTAGAGTACCATAAATAGATGCTATATTATATGCTATACCCATGATGTGACTCTGCATGCTGCTTTAATGTGTGACGTATTACGAATGAGACGCAAATAATACCGGTGGCCAGATAAGAAAACACTAATTCCATCTCTTATTTCTACTGACGCTGTAGCTAATGTATATGCACATACATACATACGTTATACACGATATGTATAACTACAACTTTTGTAAACCAGGATGGAAAATCTATAGTCTATGACGACTCATTGTCAGAAAGCTGCATGTACTGGTAACTGTTATATGCTCTGCAGAATGATATTTAATACTGTAGAATACTTTATTTTCGCTTGGAATTTATTTTCGCTATTTTCGCTGAAAGGATGATTCCGTGAAAATAAAATCCAGTGAATATACTTTTTTTCCTATATTTCACATTAAACTCATGAAAAATCAGTGAAAATAAATTTCAAGCAAAGCGTCCAAAAAGCCTTTTCAGCGAAAATTAATTCCAGCGAAAATAAAGTATTCCACAGTATTATACACTGGGTTTCATGAAGGCGTGGATTTGTTTTGTGGACATTTATAATGTAATCACCGTGCTTCATTCAAAATCGAACGAAGATTATTTCAATGGCCGTAGAAATCGTTTTATAATGCATGTTTTCTTTAACAAACGTATTTAAACGTACTTCCATGACTGCAAAATATAGATCCTATCAAATGACGGTAATTCATGTAGTACTGACATGTTAAATTGCCAGCCAGTGCTAAAAGAAAGTTTAAAGGAGTGGCGTTTCATACGAGAGGTACGGTATCATCCGCTAAAACCTGAGTTATTTTCAATCGCCATTTGAAATTTATAACCATTTACAAATATTCAAATAAGACACATCTTCATGAAACCTGGTGTATCTGCTGCCGACATAATATCATAGTTGTTTATATTTTCTGAATGAACCTTTAGTTGTTTAAAATTGTTTTTTTGTTATCTTTTCGTTATCTCCAAACAAACCTTTTAAATTGTTAATTTACGATGAATTCACTTACTATAACTATCTTTTCAGCAAAAAATTGCACAGCTGGGGGTGGGCTGACAAACCCCATCCCTTAAACATATTTCTTTTTGTTTTATGTAAATTAATAAATACATTTATAAAAATATAATATAACTATTATAAATACAAATGTATATAATAGCATGTAACAGTCGTTGTGATGGAAAACAATAATGACAACACTGTAAGGTACAGAACATATAAGAGTTACACAGCAGTACAGGCAAACCAGAAATGTGAGCCATATGATTTTAAGTTTAAATCTGTAGTGTCTACGATCACCTTGACAAAAATACAATAGTCTTTTACATAAAGGCACTTAAATAATGGTCATATACATTGGTTTAAATTGGTTGTATCTACAATCACCTTGATAAACATACAGTTGTCGTTAACGTCAGCATGACGACTGCTGTCCAGTTGAGATAGAGGCATGAATAACGGGCAGCCACTGGCAATATTCATGTCGCTGGTAGGATACTTGGATGGCCATATAAATTAGTTTATATCAGTAGCGTCTACGATCACCTTGATAAACATACAGTCGTCTTTTACGTAAGCATGACGACTGCTGTCCAGTTGAGACAGAGGCATGAATAACGGGCAGCCACTGGCAAAGTTCATGTCACCAGTAGGACGCTTGAAGGAATTCGATGTAGGGTCTGGACGAAATGCATCAATGACATGTTCTCGGTTGTTTTGATCCAGCAGCATGAAAGTGACCTGAGAGATAGAGAGATGGGAATTTATTAGAATCAAATCTTGAGAAAACACAAGAGATATCAAGAGATTTCTGAGAGGCATATTCAAAATTAATTTAAACAAGAAGCTTGGCAACTAATATTGGTCTTCTATTTGAAATGCACAAAACAATGTGATCAATAGTAATGAAGTTAATAATCAATATGCACATAGTCTTAGAGCATTTAAGTACCAAGATTCATTGAAATAAGGGAATTACTACTGAAGATATAAATGGAAAACCTAAAAATGTACTAATTATAATGAAAATTATTAATTTTTATGCACAGATTTCAACGTATAACTTATCAGTTCTGTGCAATGTCACATAGGATCTATGTACCAAGTTTCATTGAAATGTAATTGAGATATCAATGGAAAAAATGAAAATTTATGAATTATTTTGCAAATTAGGTAATTAATATGAGCAAATTGTAACCCAAAACTGATCAGATCTGTGCATTGTCCCAGAGCATCTATGCTCCATGTTTAATTAAAATGTAGTACTAGAGATATCGATTGGAAAAAAATGAAAATTGATTAATCATTATGCAAATTAGATTATTAGTATGCAAGGATTTTAATCCCAAACCAATTAGGTCTGTGCATTGTTCGTGCATGTTTCATTTGAATCTGATCAGCGGTTCCTG